TCCAAACATGCACCATTCTCTGCATGAAAATGTTGCCCCTTAGGTCCCTTTTAAATCTTTCCCCTCTCACCTTTAACCTATGCCTTCTAGTTTTGGACTCCCCTACTCAGGGGAAAAGACCATGGATATTCACCCTATCCATGATTCTCGTGATTTTATAAACCTCTATAAGGTCACCCCTCAGCCTCCGACGCTCCAGGGAAAATATCCCCAGCCTATTCAGCCCCTCCCTATAGCTCAAATCCTCCAACCCTGGCAACATCCTTGTAAGTCTTTTTTGCATCCTTTCAAGTTTAACAACGTCCTCCCTATAGCAGGGAGACCAGAACTGAACACACTATTCCAGTGTCCTGTACAGCCGCAACATTACATCCTCTCCCAGTGTTTGGATGCACTTTGTGGTTTCAGCACTTACTGTGGGATTTCCCCATGTAAACAGGTGCTGGTCACACTGTATTCACAAGGTACAGCCACCAGATGGTGCTGTGGCTCCCATTGGACCCTCTGGTGGTGGAGGGAGTGATGCCACTGGAGTGATTGGGATTATTCAGCTGTGCAGCTCTGTGTGGGACTGCAAGGTATAATCATTGTCTCTTCCTGGGACCCCAGAGGCTAAATGAAAAAGAACAGCAAATATTTTCTTCACTCCGCAAACTGCATTGTACTTAAAATGAAAGGCTTTCTTCTGTGATGTGTGAACGTACATATTATTTTCTCTTTACTAAGGACATGTACATTTAGAATGGAAATACTGTCGCACTTGTATTTCCTTATGACTGTGTGACTGTGTGATATTTACTGGCATCGTTACCTTTGTCTGTTTTCCCAACAGATTGACCTTCAGAAGATGCCCCTGGGTAAACTGAGCAAGCGGCAGATCCAGAGTGCATATTCCATCCTTAGCGAGGTCCAGCAGGTAGTCTGCAGTTCTCTCTCTGTGCAGTAGCCTAGTAGTTAGGGAAACAGGGTAGTAACTTGGGAGGGTGAGGTTTCAAATCTCACTGTGCTCCGTATGAAAGCATTATGCCCTCACCCTCCTCTCCCTCCAATGCATGGCCCTGCACTGTGTATCTCACTGTGTGCTGGACAGTGCGTGGCCCTGCACTGTGTATCTCACTGTGCGCTGGACAGTGTGTACCTCAGTTGTCTCCAGTGAAGAGCTAGAGCATGAGGTGAGCTGTGATTTCTTGTCCTCCTCCACACGCTGACCATCACCATGATCACTGGAGCTAATCAGGGTGAAGGCCCTGAGTGCCACCACCTCAGGGTGCTGACTAAACTGAATATAACAAGTGAAAGTTAAATCCTTCTCGGTGCTGTCCACTCGGCTGTTGGCCATCATGAAGAGGGAGTAGAATTTCTGCCGAAGGTAGTACTAACTGAAACCCCTGTTTTTTTTCCTGTGTTAAGGTTGTGGCTAACAATGGGCTGGAGTCTCAGATATTGGACCTCTCCAATCGCTTCTACACACTCATACCACATGACTTTGGAATGAAGAAACCACCTCTCCTGAACAACGAGGATTATATTCAGGTAACCAGGGAGGTATTACAATGTCTGGAGGCAGGAGAGGGGGGTAGGGGGTTGGGGGATAGGTGGTGCGGGGGGTGTGTGAAGGCCTTGTGGTAATGGCACTAACGGATTGTTAATCCAGAGACCCTGGCAATATCCTGGGGCCTGCGTTCAAATCCCACCATACTTGTGATGACGAGATTGGAAAAATCCATCTGTTGGGAAGGGAATCGCTCATTCTTGTCCAGCCTGGCCTGCATGTGGTTGCCTCTTGGCTGCAGTCTGAGCAATCAGGGATGGGAAATAAATACTGGCCCAGCCAGTGGAACTTTCATTCTCTGAACTAATAATAAAAAAAAATTGACGGGTATAGTTGGGTGGGGAGTGGAGATAAAGACTTCCTGTGGCTGACACTAACCAGGGGGCTATGGATTAAAGAGAATGGGCAAAAGAACTGGGGAGCAAGGGGAGAAAGATTTTGATGCAGAACTGGGTTGGTGAGGAGTTGGGGGGTGCGGACAGTGGTGGAGGAATTCAGAGGCATCTCTTGCGGGTTAGGAGGCTCGTGATGTTCCAAAAGAGAATCACATGCATCATTGACTGACAGCCAAGGGGAAGGAGCAGGGAGGTGGGGCTAGTTGGGTAGCTCTGTCACAGAGCAATGGGCAGAATGGCCACCTGCTCCTGTGATGCATTTGGAAATTTTACTGCTGACGGGAACAGTAAGGCTACATTCGGAGTACTGCATACAGTTCTGGTTGCCCTATTTTCAAAACGATATAATTAAACTGGAAGAAGTGCAGAAAAGATTTACTAGGATGCTACCTGGGCTAGAAGGTTTGAATTATAAGGAGAGGCTGGATGGGCTGGGACTTTCTTCCCTGGAGTGTAGGAAACTTTTATAGAGGTCTATAAAATCATGAGGGGTGTGGATAAGGTAGATAGCCATCAGCTTTTCCACATGATAGGGGAGTCTAAAACTAGAGGGCATAGGTTTATGGTGAGAGGTGAGAGACACAAAAGGATCCAGAGGGGCAGTCTTTTCATACAGAGGGTGGTGAGTGTCTGGTACGCACTTCGGGAGGTCGTGGTGTAAGAAACATTTAGACGGGTACATGGATGAGATTGGTTTTATTTTAATCATTTACGGAATGAGGGCATCGCTGGCTAGGCAGCATTCGTTGCCCATCCCTAATTGCCCAGAGAGCAGTTATGAGTCAACCATGTCTAGAGTCACATATAGACCAGACCAGGTAAGGATGGCAGTTTCTTTCCCTAAAGGACATTAGTGAGCCAGATGGGTTTTTCCCGACAGTCAGGAGTGGTCATCATTAAACTCTTAATTCCAGATATTTATTGAATTCTAATTCCACCATCTGCCGTAGCAGGATTCAAACCAAGGTCCCCAGAACGTTATCTGGGTCTCTGGATTAACAGTCCAGCGATAGTACCACAAGGCCATTGCCTCCCCTGGTATGAGGGATATGGACCAAACATGGGCAAATGGGACAGATTTAATTGTGAAAACTGAGCAGCATGGACAAGTCGAAAGGCCTGCTTCCATGCTGTAGACCTCTGAACTCCAATAAACTCCTTTTCGCTGCTCCGCTCTTGGTAAACATGGTACTTCTCACTCTCACTATCCCACTCTCACCTGAGATTGGTCAGTTATTTGAGCCGGTTGTTCCTTGTCCCTTTTGCCTTGTGGCTGCAGCCATAAACTCGAATCAGATTGCACCGTTGGTGAAAGTGCAGCCTGATATTGCGGGGGGGTGCTGGATTCAAAGTCTTAAAAGCGGAGGTGTTTCCTAGGAGTTGGGACTATACAGATGCAGCATTCTGGGCCCCAGCTTGTTTTCTCTTCTGTCACAGAATAAGCTGGCAGTAAAATTTACTGGAGTTTCATGATCTTCGACATCTGGGCCATGACACGCAAAGTTAGTCACGAATGCTGTCTGCTACTCCCTGCGCAATTGCTGAGATCTGGAATGCACTGGCTGAAATGGGGAGGGTGGGGTGGGTGGTGGTTTCCACCAGTTTGACAGCTCTTTCCAAGAGCTACCACAGGCACGATGGATCGAATGGCCTAGTCCAGCATCACTTCGCTACGCCAGCAGTTCCGTGCAGATATTTGCGAGAATTATTTACTGTACGATTCTTGTTTATGGAAGATCCAGAGGGGTTTTCAGATTGTAACCAGATTCTTGCAGAATGACAGGACTATTGCAGAGTTGAATCGTATCTTTAAAGATACTTCTGTGCCTCCCTTTGGTCCCCTGCAGTAACTCACTGCACTGCTTGTTCTAAACCATATAGGTCCTTGTTCTGACCTGGATTTAGTTGAACTGGTCTTGGTTGGGCTGGAGATGGGATAGCTACAGTCCAACTCTGTGGTTGTGTGTCAGGTAACTGGGAATTGTGCTCTCCTCGCAGTCATCCAGGGAATTCGGAGTGACTGCACAATGGGATTTGAATGCACTGTTGTAAAAGTTAAAATAACCTGCGATTTTACTCCCTCGTCCCTACCTTTGCTATGCCCCGCTGTGTGCAATTCTGGTCACCTTATCTGAGGGAGGCTGGCTAAAGAGGAGTGTAGCCAAGGTTTACCAGACTGATTCCTGATGTACAAAGGGAGACTGGATCAGTTAGGACTGTATTCACTGCAATTCAGAAGAATGAGAGGTTGAATCTCATAGAAACCTACAAAATCCTGACAGGACTGGACAGGGCAAACACTGGAAGGATGTTCCCGATCACTGAAGAATCCCGAACCGGGGTCACAGTTTAAGGATATGGGCATAGACCATTTAGGTCTGAGATGAGCAGAAATATCTTCACCCAGAGAGTGGTGAGCCTGTGGAATTTCCTGCCACATAACGTAGTTGTGCCCAAAACATTGAATGTTTTCATGAAGGAGTTTGATATGTATCTTGGGGATAAAGGGATCAAAGGGTTTGGGAAGAAAGCAGGAACACAGGGGATGATCAGCCATGATCATGTTGAATGGCAGAGCGGGCTCAAAGGGCCAGGTGGCCTGCTCCTATTTCCTATGTTTGATCCCAGTTTTCTCCTCTGTCATCTGGCTCTCTAACAGTATCCCTGACGTTTGCTGCCTGTCTGATCTTGCTGTTCCTTTCTATGACTTCCAGGCCAAGGTGCAGATGTTGGACAGTCTCCTGGACATCGAGGTTGCCTACAGCCTCCTCAAAGGTGGTAAGGACGATGATGCCAAGAACCCCATAGACATCAACTACGAGAAGCTGCACACAGAGATCAAGGTGACACTGGCACTCTCTACCTCAACCAAACACTGGTGACCTTTCCCAGCAGCCTCCTGGATCAGGCTGTGTTTGCTCGGCTGGAGTGATGCCTGCAATGTAATTTACATTGCCGCACCAGCTGAAGTTGCCAAGAAGGTCCCACTTTCTCATCTTTGGCCCTCATTTGAGCCGTGACTTTGCAGATAACCCATCCACAGTCATCTCTTCCCGATGACACCGCGGGCCTATGGTCCTCTGGTCCCCTGGTCCCCTTTATTAGAATTTATACCCTTTATATTATATTAACTCTCCGCATTCTTCCTACCAAAATGAATCGTTTCATCTGCAAACCCGTCTCAACTCAAATCAATCCACATTTTATTGAGAAACTAATTGAGTACCATAAAGTACATTAAAATTCACATCTAAATTGATAACAGCAAGAAAAATTGTGGTAGCAAAAATCTAACCGTGATTAAATGAATGGAAAAAAAATCTATTAAGTTAATCAGTGAGGAATAAAACCATAAACATTCAGCAGGCTGTTTCTTAAAATTTCTGACCCTCGCTAGAATTGAAACCCCTGAGCCATTGCTAGAATTGAAACCCTTGATTGCTCTCCGGGCCCTGTTCCTCTTACTAGAATTCCTAACGAACATCACTCCAGAAAAATAAACAATGAACATGTTCCGTGGAAAAGACTGCAGTGAGAGAAATAGGGGGAAAACAAAGAGGAAACAGCAAGCTGGAGGAAATCATTGGCGTAAAGCTGACATACTTGAGCAGTACATGTGCATACGCTCTCTATTAGTTTTTGTTTAGAGCTTTGATATACTATAAAAGGAATTAAACTACATAGAGTCATATAGTGCAGAAACAGACCCTATGCGGCACGGTGGCTCAGTAGTTAACATTGCTGCCCCACAGTGCCAGGGACCTGGGTTTGATTCCACCCTCGGGTGACTGTCTGTGTGGAGTTCGCACATTCTCCCTGTGTCTACACGGGTTCCTCTGGGTGCTCTGGTTTCCTCTCACAGTCCAAAGGTGTGCAGGTTAGGTGGATTGGCTGTGCAGAACTGCCCATAGCATCCAGGTATGTGCAGGCTAGGTGCGTTAGCCATGGGAAAGGCAGGGTTGCAAGGATAGGGGAAGATGGGTCTGGGTGGGATACTCTTTGGTCAGTGTGGACTTGATGGGCTGAATGGCCTGCTTCCACACTGAGGGATTCTGTTCTACGGTCCAACCAGTTTATGCCGATCATAATCCCAAACTAAATTAGTCCTACCTGCCTGCTCTTGGAACTCCGGATGCTATAAATCAGAGGCAAAAATAGAAAATGCTGGAAAAGCTCAGCAGGTCTGGCAGCATCCGTGGAGAGAAATCAGAGTCAACGTTTCGGGTTCTCAAGAAGGGTCACTTGACCCAAAACATTAACTCTGAATTCTCTCCACAGATGCTACCAGATCTGCAGAGCTTTTCCAGCAATTTCTGTTTTTATCTCTGCAAACTTTCCTATTCATGTACTTATCCAAATGTCTTAAATGTTGTATCTGGTGTTCTGGCATCTACCATTTCCTCTGGCAGTTCATTCCACACGCAAATCACTCTGCGTATTAAAAAAAAATTGCCCCTCTTGTCTATTCTAAATCTTATCCCTCTCGCCTTAAAAATATGCCCCCTAGCCTTGAAATCCTCCACCCTAGGAAAAAAAGACACCTGCCATTCACCTTATCTATAGCCTTCATGATCTTATAAACCTCTATATAGTCACCCCTCAACCTCCTACATTCCAGAATTAAAAAAAGTCCCAGAATTAAAAAAAAGTCCCAGCCTTTACAACCTCTCCTTATAACTCAAACCCTCCCTTCCTAGCAACACCCTGGTAAATCTCTTCTGAACCCTCTCCAACTTAATACTGTTCTTCTAATAAGCATGCACTCCACTCAATAGCAACAGTGTTGAGTGATAAATCTATCAGTGTGCTTCTATTTCCATCTCCATGAGTGGCAAGGAATAAAGGAGGGAAAGAGAGTAGCTAGGAGGGAGAAGTGAAGAGATGGGTTTATTCTTTATTCCTGGATGGGATGTGGGCATTGCTGACAAGGCTGGCATTTGCTATCCATAACTAGTTGCCCTTGAACTGTTTAGCTCTCTAGACCATTTGGGAGGGAAGTTAAAAGTTAACCACATTGCTGTGGGACTGGAGTTACATGCAGACCAGACCAGATAAGGACATATGAACATCAGATACATTAGAGACTTTTAAGGGACTCTTGGATAGGCACATGGAGGATAGTAAAATGTAGGGTATGCAGGGTAGATTGATCTTAGTCAGATAATAGGTCGGCACAACATCATGCGCCGAAGGGCCTGTACTGTGCTGTACTGTTCTATGTTCTATGCAATTATGTGGCAGCAGATTTCCTTCCCTATGTGACATCAGTGAACCAAATGGGTTTTTGCAATTGACCTGGTCAATTGATGATTCAACTGTCTTTTAATTCCAGATTATATTGAATGTAAATTTTGCCAAATGCTTTGATAGGACATGAACCCATGTCTCCAGTATTACCCATACAGGGAGAACAGTGATGTGGGAAGAGAGAGAGAGAGAGAGACTGGAAAGAAAGTGTATGACACAGAAAAAGGGAAATTGATACCATCTCAAATATGACTGTGAAATTTCTGCTCACTAAATAATTAGGATGTGGATTATTTCAATATTGTATTTATTATGGTGGAGAAAATACGCCAGTTTCACGTCAAGTCTGTGGGTATTTCACATCATCTGTCTTTGCTTCATAAATCTTGAAGGAAGATACAAGTTTGAATCATTTTCACCATTAAGTTTCATCTGTCACTTGTCCATCTGCAAACCTGTCTCAACTCAAATCAGTCCACATTTTATTGGGAAATAAGGACAAGTTGAGTATAAACTAATTTCAAGAATAGCTGATAAAATGAAATGGTGTACGCCATCAGAAACTCGCACATGAGGGACTGTTCTGGGAACTAATCATAAACAGATAAATGTACTTTCTGAAGTGTACTCTTGACTATTAAAGTTTGATACTATCATGCTCACAGAACTTCCAGGTTTCATATCACCGGCACATTGTAAAATGATGCCCATACAACGAGGTAGGGTCATTAATATCGATCAGAAAGAGCAGGGCTGCCTGGGGAACTCGAGTACTGTCTACTCCCTATTTCTTTCACACAGCTAATTTCACATCCATGTTGCTGCCATCCCATCATAGCCTGGTGACTGAGGATCTATCACTGATATTGCTGCTTGTAAATTTGTCACTAAGCTCCTTCCTGTCTTCATTTAAACTCTGTGTCTTAGGTTCTGGACAAGGAGACAGACGAAGCCAAGTTAATCAGAGAGTACGTTAAAAACACACACGCTGCTACACACAACCAGTATGATCTGGAAGTGATGGAGGTGAGTGCTGTGGTGACATTTTGCGGTCTGTGCTTGGCCAGGCCTTTGGACGGTCTCTTGAAGTTTGCAGTTGCCATGGATGCCAGCCCAGCTTTTCCGAGGGGGCTTCTACCAGAGGCCTGCATCTGCTGGGATTCGAGGAGTTTTCTGTCTCCAGGGGGCAGTTCTTGACAGTGATATAGAGCACCACCAAGCTCTTGATCGTGCAGAAGGTGGCCATTCAGTCCATCATGCCTACGTGCACATTGTGACATGGTGGCGTTCTCCTGCCTTTTCCCTGTGAGCCTGCACACTGTCTCTTCGCTGTGACACTGAGGGTAATCCAAGGAGACCTGGCGCCTGCCCTGGCACAAACCTTCCTTTCAGTACTTCCTTGCTACAACTCTGATAACAGCAGCCTTGTGGCCTGTGAGATACAGGCCGTTGCGTCTCGCTTGCTTTCTGGTTTCTCTCTGTGATGTGACCCCTTCCCTGTTGAAACAAGCTCCCAGGTTTGCTTTAGGCGAATCGGCAGCATAGTAAGGAGGGATGGTTTCTGCAGTCGAATCAGGAAGAATGGGCAAGCACAGCACTCCAGTCGAATAATGTCCAGCACCTTCATGGGTGGGGTGCGGGTCAGAGCCTCGAGTGTGAACCGTATCCTTGTTTGTGCTGGTATATATTCACCCTGGTTCTTTACACTGGAGCCCCTGATGGTGGGATGGGGTGGCAAGGGTGGGGACGAGTGGGGGAGGAGTATGTTGGTAATCTGGGGCAGGTGAAACCTGTCATCGGGCAGTTTTCACATCACGGAGTCTTCCTTTCCCTTTCTCTTTCTGGTAGATCTTTAAGATTAAACGCAATGGGGAAGAAGAGCGTTTCGAGCCCTTCAGTGAACTGCACAATCGCCAACTGCTCTGGCACGGCTCCCGCATCACCAATTTCGCTGGCATCCTGTCACAGGGTCTCCGCATTGCTCCACCAGAGGCTCCTGTGGTGAGTGAGAACACAGGAAGGGGGGAGGGTGAGAGAGAGAGGGAGAGAGAGACACGGGTAGGGTCGAGAGAGGTGGGAGGAGCGAGAGAGATAGAGAGAGTGGGGACGAGACCGAGGAAGAGAGAGGGTTGGGGGGTGGGGTGGTGCAGGGGGAGGTCTAGGGGAGAGAAAGATGGTGTGAGTGAGGGAAGGGTTTGGGATGGGGAGAGAGAGAGGCTCTGGGTAAAAGCGAGAGAGGTGGTTCTGGGGAGAGACAGAAGGTCTGGGTGAGAGTGAGGCACAGACAGAAGGGCAGGGCGAGAGAATGAGGGAGGGAGCAAGGGTGGGAGAGGGTAAGGGTGGCATTGGGTCTGTTCTTGGCCAGAGCCAGAGGCAGGTTGAGTGAATGCTCCATCATCTACTTCTCGTTCTTTCTTTCTCTTCCAGACCGGCTACATGTTCGGTAAAGGGATCTATTTTGCTGACATGGTTTCCAAAAGTGCCAATTACTGTCACACATCACAAGCTGATCCTGTGGGGCTCATTCTGCTTGCAGAAGTGGCTTTGGGAAACATGTGAGTAACATTACTGCTTTTCATTGTCTGTCTATGCTAGTGCGTGAAGCTGTAAGATGTCATTCATGTGACTGTGGTCTGAGATAGGAACCTGACACGGCCACTCTGCCCCTTGAACCTGCACTGATCATCACGTTCTGTGTCTCAATTCCATTCACCCATATTACTTCCATAACCTAAATCTCACTCATTAAAATTTTCAATTGGAAATCCTCTGCCATGCCAGAATCTCAAGACCAGAAGTAATATTCTCTTTACTGTGAAGCTAGTAGCCCCAGCGTGGAGCTCCCCTGTGGGAATGGTAGCCCCAGCGTG